AAAGATCAAATCTAGATAAATCGATGATAAACAAACAAGCAAGCAAGAAACTCAAAAGTGTTCCACCGTCTCATCCTCTTCAAAGAAGGATTGGCAAATGGAGTTGTCATTTACGCCTATCACAGTCAGGTGTTTGTGCCACGTGAAGTGACCAGTCAGCAGTCCCGTCTTCTCAGTGAGAGCAAAAAAACTAGATAGACCTTCTGACATTGAAGGAAACATGAGTTTTGCCCACTTGCATCCACTCTATGGCTCCTAGCCATTGCTGAGCGAAGTGTCCACCCAGTTTCTGATGGTGGCTTCGATGGCCGAGGTGAGGAGTGCTATAACTTGTTGCGGATCGAGCAATACCTGGTCTAAGCCAACTGTGGCCAAAGGGTCAGAAGCCTCGTTTCCAAGTTGCCTGGCATCCAGAGTAAGGCAAGCTTGTTATCTTTACCAACATAATTTAGTCGAGACTTGCATTTGCGAACTAGTTTGGAAGTAGTTAGATAGAGGGCTGGCCAATGCCTTAAGTGCAGCTTGTCTGTACCTGTATGATGACACAAAGTTCACCAGTGCGTCAAGAGCACTACAGATCAAAGTTAAATAAATAGGCTATCAAGCAACCATTTTGGTTATTTTCCATCGAGACCAGATGAATTTTCGTGCACCCCCACTTACAACTCTTGGACCGCCGTATTTTTCACGTTAACGTAGACCCCTGTCGAGTCTCCCGTGGACCCCTGGGGCTCCACCTGGACCACTTTGGGAATCACTGCAGTATACGGAAAATTGTATTTTATTTTTATTTTTTATTTAGAATAACGTCTTGTCCGGCTATTTGGTATACAGGTATGTAGAGCTATGAGTTTAAAAAACATTAGGTTTTAGTTGAGATACTGCAAAGCTTTTGCCATTCACTTGGGAGTGGCCAGAAGTGATTTGTTTGCTTACGGTTCAAATCGCAGCTCAATTCGTCCGGATATTTATATCCACGTATCCCCTGGGTAGCGACCAATTTAATTTAAACTTTTGTCGTGGTCGTCGTAAAAAGGAGAGGTATCATCCGAAGTTTTGTGTTGGCGGATCCCAAACTCAGCGCACAACCCACTGCTGGAGGGGGATGGTTTCTTAACAGAATACACGTTTATGTAGCGAGCCGCTGCAGACTTCAGTGAGCCCTTAAACCGAATATGTCGGAGTGGCCCCACCGAAGCTCTCTCTCTTTCTGCCGTGAACCAATGCTCCACTCGAATTGGCGAACGAGGTCGCAACAGTCGGGATGAGTATAGCCGTGAAAATGTAGCTGCATACCCAGAACAACGACTATACCCCATAGCACTCGATACATTAACAGTGGGAAATACGAAATTTTGAATTCTGACCAAACCTTGAAATAAAATGAATAAAAAACAAAACATTAAAGTGTACTTACATAAATTTTTTGTTGTTCTTCGAACATATTTATTAATGTTTTAGTGCTTATTTAAGCGCTTAGTATGGCTTCTTTCTTCGGTCCTGATCATCAGTCTTACGTAAAGAAAATAAAACATTTTTGTAACTAAATTTAATTTTTTTTATTTATGCATTCAGAACAATCATATATGTATAAATGTATTTGCATATCGCAATGCGCATAGTAACTATGCATGCATATGCATAGACTCATTTTTTGTTCGTATAAAAAAAGTAAATTTGAGATTTTTACAGTCATGAAGTGAAGGAGAAATTAAGTGATTTCCTTTAAAATGCTCGCACCTATATTTGCATTTAAAAGTCTCCCAAAAAGGAAATGCTTAATTTCACCTTAACTTCTAAGAGGAATATACAATAAATAATAGCTTAATCGCACCAAGTATTATTTATTGTATTTACAATTCATTTGTTTTTTTTTTCGTAGTAATTTCAAAAATTTTGCGACATTTTTTTATGTTTTCTTTGACATTTATCACAGTTTTAATAAATAATAAACAAAACTAAATTTTATACATATTATGAAATTCGAGATTTAATTTTTAAAATATTTCAAATTTTAATTAATGAGATTATTTCATGTCTTCTGTAATCAATATTTATCTTTTTCCATATTTCATTCCTTCATTGTTATTTTTCACACGACGTTGGTTACAAAAATTTTCTTCGCTCGCATTTTTAAACCTATGTACATATGTGAAAAATAACCAATTTGAAGAAGGAAATGGTTTATGGTTATTATGTGGCAACGCACTTTAAACGGCGTTGCATAATCAACACATTACAATTAGATTAAATCGTTGAATGTATTATTAACACAAAAAAAAAAACAATAAAATAAATAAGGGCTTCCAAAACTATGCAATTAATATTTAAATGAACGTACGTTGTATAAATATGAAAATTATCAATAAGTATTTTAGTAAAATTAGTAGTTTCGAAGCTATTCGCTCATAGCTTTGTTTTTCTTTGTGATTTTTTACAACAATATTTGCGGCCTAACATAACATCTATTGTACACATAGCAAACTAGTATTATTTTGATGATTTCTTCTTTTTGCTTTTTGGCAATTTCGCCCAAATGCGGAAGAAGTATTCGTCTCGACGCAGCAGTTTACCACGAGCATACGAATGAATATCCGCGTCCATATTGTGATCACGCAACCAGGACGATGTATTGCAACTACTCATTTCCGTACGCGGTTCGTCGGGCAAACTCAAGTGTCCTTTGAAATGTGAGGGAAAGAGAAATAGAAATACATGTGTAAGTTATGCTTTCCTTTTTAACAGCTTTCTCGCAGCATGACAATGATTGTGTATCTTACCTGCTGTCATAGCCTTATATGGCTCCTCAGATTCGAGTGGTTCACTAAGACCGATCTCGTTCTTTGCAAATATGCGTATCATATATTCATGATTCTCTTGTAGGTCGCGTATCTGGAATCTTTGCACACCGGCCGGTACACGGCCCACTTCGATCCACATCGTTTTCTTCATGTCACGTATTGCAATGTGATAGCCGAGCAGTGGCGCACCACCATCTGACTCGGGTATACCCCATTCGAATATGTGTGCATTGGCGGCAAGTACTCGCGCCTCCAATGGCGCAGTGGGCGGTGAAGGAACGGCTATTTGAATGAGATTCAATTGCAAAATGATAAATATGGCACAATGTTTTGTATTTAAACGTGTAGTCTACACTTACTTGCGTGTGTTTTGAGGGATACACTCTCGGTTACGGCTGGTGCACCTAATCCAACCGCATTCTCAGCTGATACCCTAAACCAGTACTCGCATTTTTCCTTCAAGTTATCCACTGTGTATTGGCGACAGTGTGCATCTAAGGTGATTACCTTTGTCCATTTGGTTGATGTTGCCGAACGTTTTTCAATACAGTAGCCTGGGCGAACGTAAAAGAACGGTTTAAAATCTATAGATGTGTATTTTTGTATGAGAGTTCTTTAAAGTTTAATTATTTCAGTTTATAAATTGGTAACGAATATTCTAAACTGAATGCTCAAATCGGATTTCATTCATTTACGAGTGACCTAATTTAGCCCAGTAATCGTTCCATAACTAAGGCATATTGAGCTGTCTACAGATCGATAAATGAGAAAACAAATCGATCATGTTGTGATAGATGGAAGACGCGCTCCCAGTGATTTAGACGTACGTACACTCCGAGGGCCAAACATAGACTCGGACCACTATCTTGTTGCAGCCCAGATACGCACCCGGCCCTGTGCCGAAAAGCTGGCCAATGCATTCGCCACTCGACTCACACTTGCTCTTAGATAGAACTCTTCAACAAACCAACATATGCGAAGAGCTTGAAATTCTGGCCGACAGGAAAAAACCCTAAAATTTTACAAGGGAGTTAGGCGGCTTACGGAAGGTTTCAATACATGGGCGAACTCCTGTAAGAACAATCAAGGCGACCACGTGACCGATGTTCAGAACGTACTTAAATTATGTAGGGGACACTTCTCCACCCTATTGAATCGTAGCAGCACTGAAAGTTGTGGAGATGACCAACCTGAACACCTAGTCAATGATTATGAAGTCGATGTTCCACCACCTGATGTGAGTGGTAAGAACTGCAATTAGGCGGCTAAAAAAACAACAAAACTGTTGGAGCTAAACGCCTGCCAGCCGAGCTATTCAAGTACGGCGGCGAGGAGCTGATAAAGTGCATGCATCAAATCTTATGCAAAAAATGGTCAGATGAACGCATGCCGACGACTGGAATTTAAATGTGATCTCCCAATCCACAAGAAATACCGCGGGATCAGCCTTCTAAGCATAGGTTACAAGGTCTTATCGAGTGTATTGCGTGAAAGTCTAAAGCCCACCGTCAACGAACTTATTGTGGCTTATTAGTGTGGACTTGGACCCGGAAAATGCACCACAGACCAGGTATTCACAATATGCGAAATCTTGGAAAAGGTCCGCGAGAAGAGGATCGAAAATTACCAGCTATTTGTCGACTTCAAAGCCGTTTTCGATAACACGAAAATAAGTTGTTTTTATGAAGGAATGTCTGAATTGGGCATCCACGCGAATACCACCAGCTCCGTCAGGATTGGAAAGGACCTCTCCGAGCCGTTTGATACCAAACGAAGGTTGATTCCCTTTCCTGGGGATACATTAAGCTGATGTTTACAAGAGCGTACAATTGCTGGCGTATGCCGCCGACAGCTACATTAACACTAAAAAAAAGGGCTCCGTCTGTTCTTCCTTCTCGGTATTAAATATAGCAGCAAGACGTTTGGGTCTGGTGGTGAGCGAGGACTAAACGAAATATCTCATGTTATCAGACAAACAGTCAGAGTATAAGCGTCTTGGCATCCACTTAACTGTTGAAAGTTACAAATTTGAAAACGTAGACGACCTCGTTTATTTGGGTACCTTGATATCCAATGGAGAATTACTTTTACCAACAACTGCTACTTTGGCTGAGTAGGCTATCGAGAAGTAAAGTCCTCTCTCGACCTACAAAAATCACACTTTATAAGTCACTCATCATGTGCAGAAGGATGGACAATGATAACATCCGATAAAGCAGCTTTCCTTGCTATGATTAACTCCTCAGCAATTTCGATAGATCCATATTTCTGCCATGACAATGATACATAGATAAAAGAACGTCAGCAGATATTTGTATACATATATTTTTATGGCATTAATATCTTCATTCCAATTGGAATTTCGTTCCAAAATATGTACATCTTGCACGCACCCTGCCNAAAGTCCTCTCTCGACCTACAAAAATCACACTTTATAAGTCACTCATCATCCGATAAAGCAGCTTTCCTTGCTATGATTACTCCTCAGCAATTTCGATAGATCCATATTTCTACCATGCCAATGATAGATAAAAGAACGTCAGCAGATATTTGTATACATATATTTTTATGGCATTAATATCTTCATTCCAATTGGAAATTCGTTCCAAAAAATGTACATCATGCACGCACCCTGTGAGAAACAACAACCAAACAGGAAACATTTGCTACTACATAAGTAGGGAAATTATATAGTTTCTCGCTGATTGCCTAACTGTAGATAACGACCCATGCTTTTGTATGTGCAAAAGAGAGTTCGGCTCATAGAAACATAATGCCGACTTTGGCTCAAGGGCGAGCAAAGACGTATGTAGATGTTTGTATTTGAACGCTTTTATAGTCCAACGTCTTGGTATTAGGAATATTATAAATGTAGAAAAATATTTGAACATTTTGTATATATGTAATTTGCTGCAAATCGCGATACATACCAGTTATCTCTGAACCTCCGTTGCTTGCTGGAACTTCCCAGTCAAGAGTCACACTACGATTCGTCACATCAGGGATGCGCAAATTTTGCGGTGGTGATGGAGGAGCTGTTGAGAATTTTTAAACAAAAATCATTAATAAATTATAACAGTAAAAAAGCATTGAATCGCAGAATTCGCACGTATGAACAATTTTCTCAGGTTAATTGACTGCCGCTTAAATGGTTATCCGCTTATTTTTGTTAACTCGGTGTGAAAAAGAATTCTTCATTTAAGTGAAAAAGATAAATAACACAGGTTTACAAAGAAGAAAAAAAGGTAACCGAATATTGAATCAAACCTCTATATTCCTATGTTATTCCATCACGTCAGGTTCGAGGTCATTTGAAGGTCAAGTAGGGAAAAATTCATGGAATAAACNATGGAGGAGCTGTTGAGAATTTTTAAACAAAAATCATTAATAAATTATAACAGTAAAAAAGCATTGAATCGCAGAATTCGCACGTATGAACAATTTTCTCACGTTAATTGACTGCCGCTTAAATGGTTATCCGCTTATTTTAATTAACTCGGTGTGAAAATAAATTCATCATTTAAGTGAAACAGATAAATAACACAGGTTTACAAAGAAGAAAAAAGGTAACTGAATATTGAACCAAACCTCTATATTCCTATGTTATTCCATCACGTCAGGTTCGAGGTCATTTGAAGGTCAAGTAGGGAAAAATTCATTGAATAAATCAGAACATTCAATACCATTCTTCAGAATTCTACCTTGAGATGACCTCGGCATGACCTCTAGATGACCTTGAATAATCAAGGGACCCTCATATTCCGATTCAACTACAACAAAAACAATAAAAAAATGAATTACTATTTCTATTGCATAAATTCGTTTTCCTATTTGACCCTCAAACAGGGTAGCCAACANATTCTTCAGAATTCTACCTTGAGATGACCTCGGCATGGCCTCTAGATGACCTTGAATAATCAAGGGACCCTCATATTCGGATTCAACTACAACAAAAACAAAAAAATGAATTACTATTTCTATTGCATAAATTCGTTTTCCTATTTGACCCTCAAACAGGGTAGCCAACCTTTTTTTGAGAATTCCCCGATTTTGACAATGAAATTCCCCGATTTTGCCTGAAATTTCGTAAAATTCCCCACTCATAGATATCTCCTTATTAAACAAAAAAAAAAGAAACACCACAAAATGAATGTATTTTTTATCTATGTATTCATAAACCAAACCAAACTTTTATAAAGTTAGTTAACAAATTAGTAATAAAATATGTTTATATAATATTTACGTACATACACTGGTCGAAAAAATTTTAATCGCACCAAGTATTTTTATTGTGTTATTTAATTTGATTTATTTTTTTATGAAACTATAGTTCGTTCTTTAACAAATACCGTGTAAATACAAGTTTGAAACTTTGTGAATATTTGAAAAAATTCAACCAATTCGAGANTATTTACGTACATACACTGGTCGAAAAAATTTTAATCGCACCAAGTATTTTTATTGTGTTATTTAATTTGATTTATTTTTTTATAAAACTATAGTTCGTTCTTTAACAAATACCGTGTAAATACAAGTTTGAAACTTTGTGTAATATTTGAAAAAATTCAACCGATTCGAGCTTTTTAATCGGATTTTCTAAAAGATTTTGAGTATGCCGTTTTGTAGTCCATTTAATTCTATTGTAATAAAGTGCAAGTTTCAAGTATCTAAGAATTTTCGTTTTAGAATTTTTTTGCCAAAGTTTTTGCGGTTTTCTTCCATATGAAAATAAATTATTTTTATTCATTATATGAAAGCAATGCGACAAACAAAATTCTAAAAAAATAGTTTTTGACCATTCGAAACTTTATTATATGTACTAGCATTGAACGAGCTGATATTCCCCACAAAAAACTGTACATTCCCCGATTTTCCACGCAAACTGAAATTCCCCGCAAATCGGGGAATTCCCCACGAGTTGGCTTCCCTGCCCTCAAATGACCTCAAAACTGACATTATGGAGGGTGATGGACCTTCGATTCGGGTTTAGCGAGTAAAAAACCCCATATATATGAATTTTCAGGTTTATTTTTAATGAATTTTTTCCTACTTGATCTTAAAATGGCCTCGAACCTGACGTGGTGGAGGCTAACAGACCTCGGATTCGCATTCAGCGCGTCTAATAACATAGGGATAAACCTGTGTAATTAAAACAAAAAATAATGGATTTTTTCATCTCCAATTAAGCGGTATATACTGTACATACTTATGTATGTATATTGGAAAATTTCATCGACGAATTCGTAATTAAAAATCCACAAATTTATGAACTCTTTGCTTTCAGTGCAAAATCATTTAATGAAAAAAGTTTACACCACACAACCACTACCAATTAGCAATTTGGGTAGATATTACGTAACGATATGGGTAGCTATTAAGTTACGAAAAATATAATAATAAAAAAAAATTTCATCACGTAAATTTCCCGAGAAAATTCCTTTATTAATTTTCCTTTCGTATTACTAGTGTTAAGTTCGAATTTCCATAAGTCTTTCTGGTTTACTAAATCTCTTTAGGAGTATTTTTAAATAATACTGTTGGTTTTTTTAAATAAAAATTTAATGGGAAAAAAGTTAAATTTCGCAGGCCTGCATATTTTTTAAAGTTCGATCTACGCACTCGTATGAAAAATTGCGCACGATAAAAATGTATTATAATTCCATAAAATATATTTCGTTTATGTAAATAGAATTAACTTCTACTACACAGCCTCTATTAAAGCACATAGTACATATATACATACATACATACCTAAATTTTCTCCAGCCCGTACTGTATTTAGTATATTTGATTGCAGTTAGTTGCATTATTTGAAGCATATCAGCGTTTGCGTATGAGGAATGAAGCAAATTTTTGGGTTAGCAAATAATGGTAAGCGAATATTTTAGGATGTACATACATATCTACATTAGGCTGGTTCAATTAAAAGTAAAGTCCGGTTAGTCTATGCTGACCCAAAAAATATACCACTGTTTTTTTTTACTTTAAAAGCAAATAATATTTAGATGTCGCTCAAAGCGCTCAAAGTTTTCCATGTATTTTATACGGTGTAGAAACAATTTCTCGTAGAAATAGTATAAAGTTCTTGAAAATCAATAATTTTCGATCGGAAATACTATCTTTTTCTCTTTCAAAGGAGACTTTCAATAATAATACAAAAGTTTATTATTATTCGAAATCTCTTGAAGAGAAACAGGGATATATTTTTTCGGTATAGAACAACGCCAGGGGGTGAGAGCATTAACATTCCGACTTTATTTTTTGACCAAAAATATATGTGTGTATGTGTGAAAGTGTATAAATAGTATGCCAAATTGGACAGCTGAACATTTTTTGTCAATTTTAATAAAATTTTATCTGCACAAATCCTATTTTTGGCTGCAGAAAATGTTTTAATTGCCTTTTTTTAAATGCACCGGTGGCTCATTAATTAGAGACACGACTCCTTTAAGATTTTTGACAATTAATTTTTTCTACATTACTTTTAATTTATTATTTATTTACAAATATAAAGTTCGTGCTACGACGAGAACTATGTTACTCAAAGTTTAAAATCTTGCAAAAGATTTATAAAAATCTGCAAAATTTCACAAAAACCGTTAACAAAATTTCAATTTATTCGAAATTTGGATATGCAGTTTTATTGCCCATTAAATTTGAGTATAATATTGTGGAGGTTTAAAGTAGCTTAAGAAACTTGATGATTTTTGAGAGTTATTTTTGCGGACGATGTTATTTATTTTGCGTAACATCGTTTCAATTGGACTAGTGTCGGCTATGAGTTGAAATTAATCTACATATAACCCCTGCCTCTGTAAAGGCAGTGCCACACGATTGGTACATTTGTACAGGTTTGCACATTTTTTATATTGTGCTATTGGTACAAAGTGAAAAAACTGAGACGACTTTTTTTTTTTGTAGTCACACGATTGGTTCAAGTGGTTCAAGATTGGTACAGTGAACTTCTATTGAAAAATTTGAGCAAATTGTTTTTCGTGATTGAGATAAAGAAAAATATTTGTGTATTCACACGATTGGGATACAATTTGCACCAAAGTGTGGGTAAATGTCCAATCGTGTGATACAGTTATATTGTTCATCAAAAATGCTCTTCAATTCAATCCTCTCTTAAGAAGACCATATGCATCTCTTGTTTCTACATTTTGGTAGCAAATTGAAATATCTCATTTCTTGAGTTGTGACAGCCCCCTAGTAAAAGACCGATATGAAAATTTGTACATTGAATTAAAATAAATTTTATTCTAAGTTGATAAATTGAATTTGACTAAACTTCATTACATAAGAAATCAAGAAATTTTACCAATTTAACATGTGAAGCAATAAAGCCAATTTAAAAATTTTCCGGTGTCAAAATGTTGTGTTGATATATTTACTTAATTGGCTCACTTTAGATGGTTACTTGAACATGGTATTACGAGTATTTATATCCCGTTAGATATGTATAATAATGCCTTTATCCAAATGCACACAATTTCGAGAAAAATGGCTCTAAAGTTGTTAAGCAGTTATTCCTTTTGACGTATTTCTGGCGTACTAGTAATATTTGTATCTTAATACTTAATGGAATTCTTCCTTTTAAGCATGGCAAAGCATTAAGCCAGAAGCGTTTCAAGGGTATTTTTTTTGACTGATATGTATAAAGGTTTTATGTACATATATAGAGTAAGTGGGCAAATGACAAAATAAAGCAAATCAATCTATTAGATTCATTTAAAGAGAGAAAATTACCGTAAATACCGTATCTAAACTCACAGGTTTGCTCTGCGCTGGTAATAAAAAGTTTGTAACTGGCAAATAAAGTTGCTGTAATTTTTAAACACTTTACGGAGTTTGGTAACAAAATATTGCCCCATAAAATATGCAGTGTCAGAATTTCCACAAAACTTGCTAGCAGAATTGCCGTATAAATTAAAACGTTACCAAGTTAACTAGAATTGCGGTTACAAGAAACATTGAAACATGGTAAACATTTTGGGTAATCTAATTTTCCGGTTACAAAATCATCGGTTACTTGCAGAATCGATCTGGCAATGTGATTCAGTTTTCCTTCCGCATCATTTCGTAAGAACACTTCTTCGGCATTAATGTAAAAACTGTTCTAAATACAAACAATATCAGCTTTTCTTTGCCTTAGTTATTAGAATTTCCGCGGGTAACATTTTTCGGTCGAAAAGAAAACAATATTAGTTTGACTTTGTCAATTGTCCACTTACGCATTTATACTTATGACTATGTGAATTTTAATATTTTTTTTTTTTGTAATTTAAAAAAATCCATTAATTTTTTAATTGTGTGTTAAAATATTATTTCGCTAAATAAATCATATAAATAAATGTAAGTATGTACGTATATGTATACATTTATAAAATGGAATGAAAAAATTTGTTTGCCACTTACTTATCTTTCTGCCTACAACTATTTTGTCTTCAGTCTCAAGCGCCTCACTAGTGCCAACTTCATTCTTGGCATATATTTTAAATTGGTAAGCCCGATCCTTTATTACATCACTAACCAGTATATTTGTAACATTGCCGTTTGTGCTACCAAGTAATCGGTATACGGTTTCATGGAATTCTTTGATTTCGACAATATATTCAATAATCTTTGAGCCACCATCGCTTTCCGAAGGTTCCCATGAGAGTGTAAATGCCGTATCTGACATACCGAATACTTCCGTTGGAGCACGCGGTGGTGATGGTTTGTCTACGGGGAATAAAAGATAAGAAAAAATAAAATAAAATTATAATAAAGCAATAACAAAAATAACCATTGCGTTTGAGTACAACGCACTCGCTACAGCTTACCGAATTTCTTTGTAATCGTCACCGTCTCACTCTCAGCTGGTTCA